CCTCATGGTGGATCAGGGCCTGATCAGCCAGGCTGTTACTGCTGGCCACATGTAATCCAACATACGAACCACAGCCCAGCTGGTCAGGTATTGACTTTAGGTGCCTGTCCAGTGCCTCCTTCAAGACAGCCAGGTGTCTGTTGGTAATCCCCCTGATGTATGCTGAGAGGCAGCTGAAACGTCTTGGGCCCCTGACAATTATTGTGTTGTCTCTTACCATGCTAGTGGCACCCTTGCTTTTCATTGGGGGATGTTGCACCGTCTGCCGAGTCTTTTGCTGTCATAGGGAGTGATTTTCATGTGCAAGTTTGGTACTAATCCCTCTAGGATTTTCCAGGTGTATATAACTATGTATCTCTCCCTCCTGCATTCTAGGGAGTATAGGTTTAGGAACTTCAAGCATTCCCAGTAATTGAGGTGGCTTATTGCAGTTATGCATACCATGAAGGTTCTCTACATTTTTTAGGTCAGCAATTTCACCTGCCTTGAAAGATGCTGTTAGTGTGCAGCAATATTCCAGCCTAGATAGAACAAGCGACCTGAAGAGTGTCATCATGGGCTTGGCATCCCTGGTTTTGAAGGTTCTCATTATCCATCTTGTCGTTTTTCTAGCAGATGCGATTGATACAATGTTATGGTCCTTGAAGGTGAGATCCTCTGACATGATCACCCCCAGGTCTTTGACATTAGTTTTTTGCTCTATTATGTGGTTGAAATTTATTTTATACACTGACGAAGCTTCAATTTCCTCACGTTTTCCATATTGGAGTACTAATTGAAATTTCTCATCATTGAACTTCATAATGTTTTCTGCAGCCCATTTAAAGATTTAGTTGATGTCCACTTGGAGTCTTGCAGTGTCTTCAATGGAAGACACTGTCATGCAAATTCAGCTGTTATCTGCAAAGGAAGACATGGAGCTGTGGCTTATATCCCTGTCTATGTCTGATATGAGGATGAGGAACAAGATGGGAGCAAGTACTGTGCCTTGTGGAACAGAGCTTTTCACCATAGCTGCCTCAGACTTTACTTTGTTAACTACTACTCTTTGTTAAGAAATTATAGATTCATCTACTGACTTTTCCCATTATTCCTTTATCACGTATTTTGTGTGCTATTACACCATGGTCACACTTGTCAGAGGCTTTTGCAAAGTCTGTATATTACATCTGCATTTTGTTTGTCTTCTAGAGCATCCAGGACCTTGTCATAGTGGTCCAGTAGTTGGGACAGACAGAAGCAACCTGCTCTAAACCCATGCTGCCCTGGGTTGTGTAATTGATGGGTATCTAGATGGGTGGTGATCTTGCTTCTTAGAACCCTTTCAAAGATTTTTATGATATGGCATGTTAGTGCTATCGGTCTGTAGTTCTTTGCTATTGCTTTACTGCCCCCTTTGTGAAGTGGGGCTATGTCTGTTGTTTTTAGTAACTGGGACAACCCCAGTGTCCATGCTCCCTCTCCACAGGATGTTAAAAGCACGTGATAGGGGCTTCTTGCAGTTCTTGATGAACACAGAGTTCCATGAGTCTGGGCCTGGGGCAGAGTGCATGGGCATGCCATTTATCGCCTTTTCTAAGTCATTTGGCACCAGGATATCAGATAGGTGTGTGTCCACCAAATTCTGTCTCTCATAAAAAGTTCAATCTGGTTAGTGGCTCACTAAAAACCAAGTCATATTGGGACTTGAGTAGCTCACTCATTTCCTTGCTGTCATCTGTGTAAGACCCAACCCGTTTAAGTAGGGCCCCAATACTGGATGTTGTTCTAGACTTTGATTTGGCATAAGAAAAGAAATACTTTGGGTTTCTTTCAATTTCATTTATGGCTTTTAGTTCAAAATGAGACTAAGCATAAACTACTCATTTCAAAAAAAAATTTTTTAACACCAACGTCGGCTGTCTCCACTGAGGTCTGGTGTCCAGAGAAAAGTGAACACTTTTACTGTCATTCATTCAATTGCTGTCTTGTCAGAAGTATGTTGACATCATTCAGATGGCCCTCTGTACTGCAATATTCTCACCCCTCCTTCAGAGAGCAGGCACTGTACGTCTCACCTCCAGGACTCAAGTTCAGATGTACAGTATATTCCACAGATATGGCACCACAAGTTTTAGCTTGGAGAAATACATTACATGCTATAGGCTAAAATCTTTGACACAATAAACTAGCTCTGAGCATTCAATACCTTTCTCTATTCAGTTTAGTTTTAGTCTTTGTGTCTGAAGGAAAATGTATTTTAGGGATTTCTTCTCTTCAAAGAGGTTGTCTTGGTGAAGGAATTTTGGCCCAAGGAACTGCAGCTACCTTCCCCTTCCTCAGATCAAACAAATATGGCTCTTATAAGTTTAGTGTTCCTGTATATACAGTAATAACAGTGGTTCAGCTATTATGTACATAAACATGATAGCTTCACTGTCAAATAAAATAAGCTTCCACTCGCTGGCATCTATTAATTAAAAAATGGGTTAAAATGGGATAAATAAGTAAATTTTGCAACTCAGATTTCTATGAAAATATAGAATTGCCAGAAATGCTGTACATAGTATGGGTTTGCATTAGTACTGTACTTGAACTGTCATACTGTAATGCTATTTTAAAAATCATATCCCAAGATAATTGTTTGTATGCATTAAGAAAAAAAAATATGATGGAATGCTATTACAGTACTGTATTTAAACAATGTAAATCACCAAGAAATATTAACTTGAGTTACCTTGACCAAGGGAAAAAACAGTATTTCATTTGATCACTACCAGTCATGTTTCTAAAGGCAAATGTGGCCCATTGACTTAAATTATTAATCAGTTTGTTGAAATACATATACTGTATTCAGCAATTACTGTATACAGTAAATATACCATATGTGAATACTGTATTTATTTGTATATTACTGTAATTAAGAATAGTGATTATCATTTTAATATTTTTGAAAGTGATTTTTTTATATTGTTAATTATGTTTAAATGTTAAAGTGAATTTTACGAATATTATTAAAGTTTACAAACAGAAATATAAAATTTAGTAAATTACAAATAATTTTATTAGAATGATTTCAAAGAAATTATAGTACGATAAAAACCAAGCAGTCATGGACAACAGGATTCTTTCCCAAGCTTCAGTGCAGAATTACCATAGCAGTTTAAGGTGAGCACAATAAATCTCTTTTTTTTTTTAAAGCAAGAGCAATCAAGTCTTTAGCCATAAGCAATGTAGTAGTAAATATGCTGTAGTGCAAGAAAAAATCGAGCAGCCCTTTTGTAAACATCTATTATACATCCTTGTGCAAGTTTAAAACTGAAATGGTCTGTCAGGTGCATGCCTGTATCCGATTGCATTTGTCTAATTTCATGAGCAAAGCCTGTGGAAGCACCAGTCACCAAAGCCATGCAACGTACCCGTGTTAGAAAAGTTAGTCTTGCGAGCGAGTGATGAAGCCGTATTGTTGTTGTTATTGTTGTTCTGTGGTTTACCATGCAGACTTATGAGACTATCAGGCCAGAACCTTGTGGCAGAGGCCTTGGGGTTGTAGGCCTTCGACTTCTTGGTCTTCTGGTCGGGAGGAGTGGAGGCATCGATCATGGGTTGTAGGATACGACGTCGGGCATTGATGAACCAGTTGTTCACTTGCAGAAGCGTCAGGTTGGTCTGTGCTGCGATGTGTCTTTTCTCATCTTCACTTGGGTAAGGGTGCTGAAACAGAGTTGTAAATACATCTACTTTACCATCTTATGATACATAAAATTATCCCTTTTCTTAATGGTTTCCAGGTGCTAAATTTAATAATACCAAAAACTTACTACCGTATCAGCAAATCTTAATATTTCACGTGGTCTTGTAATTCATTGTTGAAAATTATTCCATTAAATGTTACTTTATAGAAAATCCTGGCATGTAAATTTGACTGAAAAAATACAGTACTGTATACATTTGTCTTGCTCCTCAACACAGGTGCTCAAAATAGACAGATTAACTACGGTATGTTGAGGGCAATATTTAAAACTAATAAGTTCGAGACTCACAACGATGTGCTGAAAGAGCCAGGCTTTCATGATGGCAGTCGCATGCTTGGGAAGGACCCCTCGCTTCTGTCGTCGCATCCCACCTTCCTCCTCCTCCTCACATGATGGGGGGGTCAGGGGAGCTGCAGCACAAAATTTTTAGCTTATTAAAATACAGTATTATCACTATTTATGTCTTTTACATACAATGTCTTTCTCAGCATTCAATGTTTATTTATTTTATGCAGTACACAGATAATGTAGTTTACATGTAATAAAACACTGTCAGGCACAAAAGAAAGCCACCAGTGTGCAATGCATTTGGGCAAACTAATCCTAATGTTTAAAGACTACTTAAGCACAAGACAGATTGCTTAAATGTACAAAAAGATAGGTAACTACTTAAATAACAAAAAAAGGCACAATACCATGACTGGAACGATACACAAATAACCCGGACATAGAAGAGAGGAGCTTACTACTTGGTGCCTTCTACATTACTTTCAACATGGATAGTGAAGTATACAGCATATTTATAAATTATTAATTTTGAAATGAAGTGGGTTGTAATGAACTGTTGTTCCATATATAAAATTTCAATTTATCAATATTTTACTCTTCTTACAAAGCAGTACAGTACTGACAGTCACACAGGCGTTTGGGACTGGGCTGTGGAGGCAGTGACCCTTGAAATTGTCCTTAGATAATCTTGTGGTGCTGTATTTAAAACCCACCTGTGACAGATTTTGAGGTCTTTTATAGCCTACCAGCCTGGTCTTAGGCCCAGCTATCTTGCTGAGTACGTATTCAATCAGGTTGTTGATGTTTGTGATCTACTGGCCCCCATAGCTATCACTGCCTGGCTGAGATATCTGGCACTTACACAATAATCTTTCATAACATTAACATTGCTGGTCACTTCTAACCTTACAAGTAAAACTTGCCAACTAGTTTTCATTCTACTTTGTTAAGCATGCCACATGACAAATGAATTTTTAAACAGTTATATAATCCCTATAAATTTGTGGATTGTCTTATTTGGGTTTTTTATTTATTGTTTTACTGATGTATGATCCATGAATAGTTCAATTTATCCACTAGTTTTCTGGTAGCGTATATTATTGCAGACTTAGTAAACAACCCCAATGAACACAATTCTGTGTTTATTGACTTGACAGTAGTATTATATATTACAGAAGTATGGTTTCTGAAACACAGAATGATCCCAAATTTGAAACAATTTGTTATGCCAACAATTTTGTATTACTCAGTTTTTAATTTTCCAAAAATTCCAGGACTTTTTGGAATAAAAAATCTCAAATTTGTAGGGATGACTGTTACATTCCTACACAGTATTTTTAAATTATTGATGTAATATAATACAACACAAGATTTTTATTAAAAAATGAGTAACTGTAATGGCAATTCATTTTGCAAAGGTACTATATCATATATAAGCACCTTTAAATTCCTTAAAGGGCGCAATACTGTTTTGTATAATACATGTATTTATTTATTTATTTATTTATTTATTTAAAAATTTGTGCACACATACAGAGGTACAAAAAATACAGAAAAGAGCAGTATGCCAAAGCCACTTATACTATGCATAGCATTACGGGCTGGCTTAAAATTAACTTAAGATGAACTAAGCAATGATGACATCGGTGATAAAACTTTAATGTAAACAGATTACTATAAAGCACAAGTGAGTATTACAAAGACAGGTCATATGGTTGTATGCATTGTTGTACATTCAGTAGAATGGAGTATTCTGTTAGGTAGTGTTTTTAAAAAATAATAAAGTTAGATTGGGTTTTAGGTATAACATTTATGTGATATAATTGTGAGAAACATTTAAGATATACAATTTATAAGGTTCAGTTATTCAGTATTTATTTGGTTTTGGGTGAGTAAGTGATCTTTGAGAAGAGACTTGAATTTATAAACAGGTAGTGTTTCTTTTATATTTACAGGTAATGAGTTCCAGATTTTAGGGCCTTTTATGTGCATTGAGTTTTTGCATAGTGTGAGATGGACACGAGGAACATCAAAGAGTGATCTGTGCCTTGTGTTATGGTCATGTGTTCTGTTGAGGTTGGCAAGGAGATGTTTGAGGGGAGGGTTAATATCAGAGTTAAGTGTTCTATGTATGTAATAGGTGCAGTAATAAGTATGAATGTTTTGTATGGTGAATAGGTTTAGTGTATTGAATATTGGTGGAGTATGCTGCCTATAGTGGAAATTTGTTATCATTCTAACTGCAGCCTTTTGTTGGGTAATTAGTGGTCTGAGATGGTTACTTGTTGTTGAGCCCCATGCACAAATTCCATAGGTGAGATAGGGGTAAATAAGAGAGTGATATAGGGCCAGGAGGGCTGACTGTGGAGCATAGTACCGTATCTTCGATAGTATGCCTACAGTCTTGGAAATTTTCTTAGAAATTTGTTGTATATGTGTATGAAATTTGAGTCTATTATCAAGGTGGATTCCTAAGAATTTTCCCTCTGTTAGCTTTGTGATAGGTGATCCGTTTATCATTATGTTAAGAGGGACATCTGTAGCTCTGTTACCAAACTGAATGAAGTAGGTTTTGTCAATGTTTAGTGTAAGTTTGTTAGTCCTCATCCAGGTAGATATTTTCTGTAATTCTGTATTTACAGTATTGGCTAGCGTGACTGGGGCTCGGGTGGGAGAAGACGTATGTAGTGTCATCTGCAAATAGTGTGGGTTTGAGTAATTGCGAAGCATTTGGTAGGTCATTTATGTATAGGAGAAAGAGAAAGAGGGCCAAGGACACTTCCCTGTGGGACACCAACTGTAATTGGTTGTGCAGAAGAGTTTGTCCCATTTGCATACACATATTGGCTTCTGTTGCTGAGGTATGACTTGAGGTAGTTGAGGGAGTGCCCTCTTATACCATAGTGTGACAATTTTACGTGGAGCAAGTCATGGTTAACTGTATCAAAAGCTTTACGTAAGTCAATGAAGATCCCCAGTGGGACTTCTTTTTTCTCTATTGCAGTGTATATATGTTCTAGCATGTGTATAATAGCATCATTAGTATTTTTATTTGGCCTGAATCCAAATTGGCAGGGGTTGAGTATGTTTTGGGAGATAAGGTAGGAGTAGATTCGTTTATGAATTAATTTTTCGAAGATTTTTGAGAGAGGTGTAAGTTGGATATTGGCCTATAGTTATTCAACTCTGTTTGGTCTCCTCCTTTGTGGATCGGGGTGACCCTTGCTATTTTGAGTACTGTGGGGAAGGTGGAGGGATTCAATGGATTTGTTAAAGAGTGTTGCAATGATTGGTGATAGCACTTGTGACACTTTTTTGTATATAAAGGGTGGTAAGGTATTTAAATCTCCTGCCTTGTTTTTTAGCGTGTTGATAATAAGGGAGACTTCGTATGGGTTAGTCGGAGCTAGGAACAGTGTGTTCGGGTAGTTGCCAGTGAGGTAGTCATTTGGTGGGGTATCTGAGCTTGGGATTTTATTGGCAAGGTTTTGTCCTATAGTGGAGAAGAAGTCATTGAGTCTGTTTGCTGTTTCTGTTGGTGGGAGTTGGGGTTCATCTGATTTTGCTAATTTTATTTCGCTATTTCGTGATATCTTTTTTGTTCCTAGAATTTCTGATAGGGTTTTCCAGGCTTTTTTTATATCACCTCGTAAGTTGGATAATCTGTTCTCATAATACAATTTTTTTGCCCTTCTTATCAGGCTGGTTAGGATTGACGAGTAACGTTTTGTTTGGTCTCTGGTTATGTGACCCATTCTGTACTGTTTTTCATATTGGTGTTTTGTATTTATAGATTTGAGAATGCTGGGTGTTAACCAGGGACTGTTCAGTCTCTTAGCTGTCATCTGTTTAGTTTTTTTAGGGCAGTGCTTGTTATAGAGGTATTGGGTCTTTTTTAGAAAATTATTAATACATTCGTCAATATCTGTATAGATTTCTAGCTCAGTGTGCCAGTCAATGTTTGCTACTGCTGTTGTGAAGTTATTAATGGCTGCCTCATTGTGAAGTCTGAAGGTGACTTTAGTAGTGTCTTGGGGTAATTTTACCAAGAGTTGTTATGAGAAAAGTAGGGTAGTGGTCTGTGGTATTATCTGTAATTATGCCTGATTTTAAAGGGGATATGGTGTTGGTCCAGATGTGGTCAAGTAGGGAAACACTAGTCTCTGTAACTCTTGTAGGTTTTGTTACTGTTGGTAGCAACATACAGTTACTCATTGTGTTTGTGAATTCAGTAACGTGTGGGTCCTGGTCTTGCAGGAGATTTATATTGAAGTCACCTGAGAGTAGTAAGTGATCTTTGTTCATGCGTGCATCAGTTATCATACTTCCTAGGTTTTGACTAAATTGGCTAATGTTTGACTGTGGAACTCTGTAAATGTTTATCAATGTGAGAGGTTTTTGTAGGTATTTGGATTTGAATTTGGCTATTATATATTCCCCATGTTAGTAAAGATTTAATAAATTGCAGAATCAGATCAGTTTATTCAAGTATTTAGCCATTTTTTCTTTGCTAATGCATTTTAATTAAAATATTGTATACATGAAATCTTGGCACCTGAATATTGTATAAAGTATATGCAGTCCTCAACTGTATGTGTAAAGTACATTACTGTACTCAGCATGATTAAGTTTTTTTTTTTTTCAAAACAATTATACAGGCTAAGAGCTGCTATCCTACCTCAGCTCATTTCAAAGCCCAGCCCTATCAAAGGTATACTATCATCCCCCAGGATGTGACCCACAATAGTCAACTAACACCCAGATACCTACTTACTGCTACGCGAACAGGGGCAGTAGGTGAAAGGGAACATGCCCAACGTTTTCACCTGTGCCAGGGATTGAGCCACTGGCACTCAGTATGTGAGCTGAGTGCACTGCCAACTGAGCCATTATCCAGGGTGTTGTGATCACAAAAGAGGACTGTAGAATATTTCAATAAATAATATACAAATGTTGTATTAAATCAATCTTACCCAGCAAGTTAACGATACTGGTCTCTGGGGGTGGAGGGCAGGGGTGGGCGCCGATCTGTGAGAGTGGTGTGCTGCCCTGGATTAGGGTTGGTGATGCGGGCGTGGACAGGGACGTCGTGGGCGTGGTGGGTGAGACATGGACGATGGTAGTGGGCATTGTGGTAGCGACGGGAGGGCCGGGAAGGGCAGTGGACTTTGTGGTGGCGACCATACCAGGAGGACTTCGGGTTGGGGTCGCCAGTTGGTCATGTTGCAGCTCCTGGGACTGAATTTGATGGTGGTGTTGGTGATACTCTGCCTGCTGCTGCTGGTGGTGGTGGTGGTGATGGTGGTGGTGGTGGTTATGGTGTTGAGTCACCTGGAGACACAAAGCGGCTTGCTGCTGCTGCTGCTGCCCGTCCAGATACTCTCCCGCTAATACCTGTCCTGAGGTGCTAACTACCTGAAGGAAAGGGACACATGATACTCGACCTGCAAGTTACCTTACAAAGCACAGCTCAAAAAATAGTACTAACAGTTTACACTAACCTCAACATGGAAGGATACAAATTTATTATAGCCAAAAAGGGCAAAGAAGCAAAGTTTGATTCTAAATCAATTATATACAGTAACTGTTTTCTTAAGATATATTCATGAGCTAGGATGTCATGAAATTTTTTAAGTACTGTATACACCAAGATTATCTTGGCAACTTAACCTAACTTTACTAGAATGTACACATAATATACCTTACTACTACTACAGTACTTAACCTATCAAATAAATGAACTATCTAAATTTTGCAATGCTTCAACAGCAAAAATTAACATAGAATATATTTGCTTGTTTGAAAGTAGGACCACTTGTAGAATAAGCAAAATCTGCGAGTTCAAGGTATGAAGAGTGACAGTTCTACTTGCTGGAATATAGATCAATGAAGTACAATATATGCCAAAATGCTGTAAATCTTTATTATGGCAAATTTAAAGCTACCAAAAGGTGAAATGTCTTTTGAATGTGTCAGAAAATACAGAACATTAGAATTTTTGCATTATAAATCCATTTTATTTTTATATACATTGTATATGTAACCAATTTCAAGGGTTATTTTACCATGGCAGTGCAGTCTGACTGCTTGGTCAACCAGGCTTCTGGTGCAAGTTGTCTACAGGCCTGAAAAGCTGCCATAGCCTGGCTGTTCAGGCACTCAAGTAAGTTTATTCAGGTATACACAAATACAGTTACATAGATTATCATACATAGCAGCATATATGTAGAGAACCTGGGATAACCCAAAAAAGTCAAAGTGATTTATTTCCATAGTGTTACATCTTTTACCTGCTAATGGTTTGCTGGATCATGCCCCATGGTCTGGTGGCTAAAGCTCTCGCTTCACACGGCGAGTTTCCGGGTTCGATTCCTAGTGAGGGTAGAAACATTGGGCGTTTCCTTACACCGGTTGTCCATGTTCTCCATCAGTAAAATGGGTACCTGGGTGTTAGTCGACTGGTGTGGGTCGCAACCTGGGACAAAACTAACCTAATTTTTGCCCGATATGCTCTGCATAACAAGCGGCTTTCTATATAGTAGTACGTCATTGATGTCAGCTAAACCTGTATACCTTGTACATGTACTTATAGAAATAATTATATTATTATTATTATTATTATTATTATTATTATTATTATTATTATTATTATTATTATTGCCCCTGTGGTCTGGTCTTGTATCAGGTCTCCTAAATTAGAAACGTAACATGACTTGGAACTATTAGGAAATACATAGGAAACTGAAGTTAAAAGTATACTGAATGCAAGTAGAAGTTTGTAAAAATTACATGTTCGTGAGACAAAAAGAAAAGACCAGCTATCAAGTCGAGTGCAAAACATTAAGAAGCTTCCGAGTCGCATACATGGCAGGAGGGTAGTAGTACCTCTCTCTCCCCCTGGAGGATTGCTCTTTAACATCCTACTACCAGTTTCCTCTTGGCTACCATTGTTCTGGCAATATTTGTACTGGTCTTATGTTTAAAGTTGTCTGTAATAAAGTGCACAGTATTATGTAAAGATGACAAGTTGAATGTTGTTAAGCGTAGGAGTGTAGGTAGTACTGTAGACTTTTAACTGCAAGAATGTAGGTGGTAGTGATATAGACTAATAACTGTAGAAGTGTAGGTGGTAGTGATATAGACTGGTACAGTATTTTATTATAGGTTTTTGCTGTCACAGATGACTGTAAATATATCAAGTCTTGCATCAACAATGGACGAATCCACACAATTTCCCACCAAACTTTACCAATATATACAGCTGAAGGAGCCATAAAACAGAAGCGGGGAAAGGGTTGACAGAGAGAGAGAGAGAGAGAGAGAGAGAGAGAGAGAGAGAGAGAGAGAGAGAGAGAGAGAGAGAGAGAGAGAGAGAGAGAGAGAGGGAGGGAGAGAGGGGAGAGAGAGGCGCGCGCGCTCATGGAGCAAGTGACCTAGTAAGTAAGTTTATTCAGGTATACACAAATACAGTTACATAGAATTATCATACATAGCAGCATGTGTGTAGAGAACCTAGGATAACCCAAAAAAGTCAGACAGAGTGACTTATTTCCACTGGGGTCCTTTAATTTCCATTGGGGTCCTTTATTTCCATTGGGGTCCTAGTAGCCACCAGTGAAGAGGCGGGGGCCAGGAGCTGTAACCCGACCCCTGCCCTGCAGCCACAATTAACTGAGAGAGAGAGACTGAGACAAAAGAAAGGAGACGCAGAGAAAGAGAGAGAGAAAGAAAGAAGGGCAGAAGAAAGGTATCATGACAAGCAGGCGAGGGAAAAAACTAGCCCAGCTGACCCGAGCTCACATTAACACTTCGTGACTAGGTTACATGTACCTTCCTTTCTGCTCCCTCCTCCTCCTCCTTTACTATATTCTACCAGCAAATTGAACCAAAAATTAAGTATCGTAACAGCATTATTTTTTTTTATCCTTTGTGAATTAGTAATGAAAAAAGATATGAAACATTATTTATATACATTTATTCAGCAATGTACCGTGCGGGGAATTTGAGATAGCTTTTTTAATACCAGTGGAAATATTTTTTTGAGTTGTGTTGGCTAAATTTCGTAGTCTATTAGCAGACAGGTACAATGTGCTTAAAGCAATCATACAGCGCCTTGTAAGGGACTGAAACCTATAATACATAAAATTCATATATATCAAACTGCAATAATATATATATATATATATATATATATATATATATATATATATATATAATATATATATATATATATTTTATATAATATGCACAACCACCAGAACAGACTGTAAACCAACACTAATTCGTTTACTACTTATAAGAAATATAATAGCCCAGTTAGGAGAGTTGTCAAGCGTTGGAAATTCTCACCATGATTTGTTTTGTTCTGAAAGGGCACCAGACGAGTATGCTTATTGCATTGTTGTGGTAAATGTATTAATTAGAAATTAAAACACAACATATTTCATATATATAATCTTAAAAAAGCCTTTAGCGATCCTGCCTTAAACGAATACAACTAAAACTTTGAGTAATTACTATGACTATATTAAGAGAGAACGAACACCAATAAAATCGTTTGGATAGCATGAAAAGTGGTAAAACGAATATGGGTGGGTTTGGAATGGCTGTCTTGAATAACCCGGGATCCAGATTTCTATATAGATGTTTTTGGGGCCAAAATACACCAAAGGAGAGGAACTACCTATATGAAACAGAGAACAAAAAAACGTTATTCAAGTCATACATAGGTACAAATAATGGATACGCTGTCTGAAAGACATCCAAGGGGATGATTGCTGCAGGAAAATACAAATGTGACAGTTACCCAGTATAAAAGGTAGAAACAACTTATTCATTACAGGGTCAAATAGGTATGGGAGATGAAACAAAAGGAGATGCCTCAGAAAGTGTTGGACACATTAACAGTAAAAACTGGTGGAAGCACTGATGTCCATACAGGGGCGGTAGGTAGAGGGAAAATAGAAAAAATGCACCAGCAGTGAATGCAGCCACAAAAAATCCTAGCAAACAAAATTCCAATCTGTGCAAATTCTATGCCTTGGGTATCTGCAGGCATGGTATATCTGGTAAAACAGGTAGGACATGCACCTTTGACCATTCCAAAAAATGCCGCACCCACATGACAACAGGAGGGTGCAACTCCTCTTCCTGTAACTTATTTCACCCTGAAATGTGTCACTATGAAAGTAAATGGTACAACGTATACTGCCAGGCACATTATCTAAAGGAGACTAAGAAGACACAGACCAGCCGGACTATGGGAAACAAAAGAAGGGAGCCATAACCTCTCCAGAGGATTTTTTTTTAGTGCTAGTAAGGAAAAAAGACTGGCAAGATATGACAGAAATCTTACACCGACTGAAAACACTTATGGAGCAGAGGCACAGTCATTGGCCTCCACTCCAGAACATATTGAAGCCAGCAAATAAAGCCCAAAATAACAAAAAAGGCACAATACCGTGACTGGAATGATACACAAATAACCCGCACATAAAAGAGAGAAGCTTACGACGACGTTTCGTTCCGACTTGGACCATTGACAAAGTCACACTAACCAGAAGTGGAGCAGGACGGCTATATATAGGCAGGAAGAGGTGGTGGTAGTAGTAGTAGTAGTAGTAGTATAAGAATAGTACATAATATCGACAAGATGAAATTAAGACATGCGCAACACCCAGGCATCCCTATCGCAGACGTTTCGCCATCCAGCCAGCCACTGGATGGCGAAACGTCCACAACAAAGACAGCCAGACGTCGCACATGTGTCTTAATTTCATCAGTAGTTGTAGTAGTAGTTGTAGTAGTAGAAGAGGTAGTAGTACTAGTAGTAGTAGTGGTAGTGGTAGAAGTGGGAAATAAGGAGGACGACCCAGTCAAATACAAAGGAAGGGAAGCACTGCAAGAGAGCTAGGTGCCCACTGAGGGAGAGCAAGCGCACAGAGGTGCGTGAAAGGGGAAGTGGTGAAATAAATGAAGAAGGAACAGAAACACGAGACAGAAGAGAGAAAGACAACCCAGAGGAGAAAAGGAAAGAGGAAAGGGGAAGAGGGAGAAG